TCCTGCCTCAGCCTCCCAAGTAGCTGAGACTACAGGTGCCCGCCACAACGCCCGGCTATTTTTTTTGGTTGTAGCCATCATTGTTGTTTTTGGCGGGCCTGGGGCCGGATTCGAACCCGCCATCTTAGGTGTATGTGGCTGGCACCTCAGCTCCTTGAGCCACAGGCGCCAAGCCATGTGTCCTGTGTCTTAGCACTGCCCTCAGTTCCATGTTTGCTCCTTAACACTTACCTTATAGTGAGGGCAGGGACTGTGTCACAACTCTGGAATCCCTAGCGCCCAGCAAAGGGCTTGACTCAGTGTAGGTGGGTAATCAGCGAATATTTGTTGAATGAAAACTCCCTACCGTGCCTTCCTGGCCAGGGTGCCCTTTCCTTTCCATGTTGAATGTGCCTGGATTTAGCATGTCAGCCTTCTGGAGATGCTCTGTTTTAGATGCCTGGACACCAGTTCATGATTTCTTCTGACCCCAGATGCTCTGAGTCTTTCTCTCACTGCTGGCCCAGAAAGTCTTTCATTCAAGCACCTGGCTCCCCGAAACTTGGTGTTCCCATTTCTGGCGACACACGTTTCTGGTTCCAAATCCCCCAGTGGTGCCTCCTCTGCACCTGGATTTCAATCCCCAGCTCCTCGAATTTTCCTGACTTTAGTCCTTCAGAAACCTAAGACCACATTCTTCATCCAATAACTTTGGACTCTGAGTCCTCATAATGCATCCTTTTAGAACTGTCTGCAGACAGGTCCTGCAACTCCACGGACCTGACCTTGAGTACTGAGCGAGGCCTTGTCCTCATAACCTCCACTGGCTCTGTGGACATCTGCTTTCAAATGTCTTCATAGGGCAGGGAGAAGATGGGTAATTCCAGGAATAGGGCAGACTTCTGGTAGAGGGTGGAAATGAGGAAGGGGCAGAAGATCAGCTGGGCCTGGGATCAGTATGAGTTGAACATTCTACCCGGACCTCACAATGGGGGGCTTGCCCCCACCCTCTGCTCTGATGCCCCAGACTATAATCCTGGCTAAGTCACTCTGGCCCCACAGACCAGAGCCCCTAGGGATCAGGGATGAGGTCTCTTCAGTCACCCCTCTATAGAATGTCTCTGCCAGACTTTCCTGCAACATGTGAAAATAAATTTTTCATGGTATTGTCCCACTGTGGGCCTCTCCTTGTGTTGATGCTGCTGTGATGATCACATGTTATGTGTCAATGTCATTAGGTTAGGTATCCTAGTGTTTGGTCAAATTCTAGTTTAAACTTTGCTGTGAAGGGATTTTGTAGAAGTGACTAACATCTACAAAAATGTTGACTTTAAGTAGGTTACCTTCAGTTGTGTGTGGGCCTCATCCATTCAGTTGAAGAACTTAAGATAAAAATACCTGAGTTTTCTGGGCAAGAAGGAATTCTGCCTCAAGACTGCAACATAGAAAACCTACCTGGGTTTCCAGTCTGCCTTACACATTTTGGACTTGTCAGCCCCCATAGTTTTATAAACCAATTCCTTAAAGCAAATCTCTTAATATAAAAGAACTCTGACTGATACATCAATATACCAGTGCTCTTTCCTCTAAAAAAATACATGTTGAGCACCAATCCTGTGGCAGATAAAGTGTTAGGAATGGGGGGGGGAGAGTCATTGCTAGTCATGACAGGCATTGTCCCTGCCTTCTCAACCTGGCAGTCCAGTGGGGAGCAGGCATGCATCGAATGGCCACACTGAATGCCGAGTTTCTCCTGTCTGTGACGAGTGCTGTGGAGAAGGCCCTAGTGCTGGGAGAGGGCAGACCTAGTCGGTCAAGGCAGCTTTCCATGGGAAGTGCTGATTGAGATGATGTGGTAGAAGCGTATTGGGTGTGGGAAGAGCTTTCCAGCTGAGGGAACAGCCAAAGCACAGGTTGAGGGGACTGTGTTCCACCAAAGGAAGGGAAAGAGTAGTGGAATGGAGAATGAGGAGAATGGACATGTGTGCTGGCAAAGGATGGACAGCCCAGGATGGGACAAGGCCTATGGCTATGGGACTGATGTTGATCTTCATCTTGAGGCCTTGGGAAGCCCTTGAAGGCCTTTAAGGAAAGGGGTATGCGTTGGTGTTCCCTGGAGCCCTCTGTCCATTGACGCAGAGAAAGGAAACCACAGATGGAATGATTGGTATGAAGGGAGGTTGAGGCTCAATCCCGCACAGCAACCCCACTCATCTTTACTGATTATCTTACATACTGTAAAACATTCAGTAAGAATTCAATACAGTCAAAAAGAAGTGAAATAAGATCAGGAAACTGCCATTAAGATTCCAATTCAGGGCTCGGTGCCTGTGGCTCAATCAGCTAAGGCGCCAGCCACATACACCTAAGGTGGCAGGTTCGAATCCCCAGCCCGGGCCCGCCAAACAACAGTGATGGCTGCAACCAAAAAATGGCCGGCGCTGTGGCGGGCGCCTGTAGTCCCAGCTACTTGGGAGGCTGAGGCAGAAGACTCGCTTGAGCCCAGGAGTTGG